AGCTACTCCGATCTCTTTTCTCCCATCTCGACCCATGTGGCTTATCTCCTGACCTCTCTCTCTCCTGGTCGGATCGTTTCCTTTCTGGCTCTCTCTTTGAGTAAAAGAACTCACCAGCGCTCATGTACTTCTGAGCTTGGTTCAGCGCCTCCGAGAAAGTGCTCGGTGTATTCTTCCCGAATGAGAATCATAAGTGCTCATCCCTGATGCCAGACATGAAGGCTAGTAGAGTTACAACGTCTGTGATGCCCTCCACCTGCAACTTTTCTTCGTTGAACCGAGCCACATAGTCGTGTAGGCTCTCTGTCACCTTTTGTTTAATAGTTAGAAGATAAGCCACGGGTCGACTCTGACTCCGTCCCCTACAAATCTGGTTACGAATGCCCTAGCCAGGCTTTTAAAGCTCGAGATTGAACCTCGTTTTAATTGTCGAAACCATATTCTGGCCGACCTGTTCAATGTGGTCGAGAACACCCGACATCTGACCACCTCTGACATCCCGTAGATATCTATCCATTCTCGATAAGCATCTAGATGGTCCATTGGGTCGGCTGTCCCGTCGAACTGTTTCACCGTGGGTAGCTTGAATTTTGGAGTGACCTTCTCCTCCATGATCTCCTCCGTAAATGGTGAGTCGGCCTGATCCAGTAGTTATTTGAGGTCGAACCACTTCTCCTTTTGATTTTGTTGCTTCTCCGACAACTCTAGTCGATCTGTCGGTTTGTCTTTGTCGAGGTCTATCGGCTCAGAGTTTCGGTTATCCTGGTTGTTCTTGCCCCTATTTGGTATTGGGGTTTTTGCTCTTTCGGGAGTCGAAAATCCGGGTTCGTCGTCTGGTGTTTCCACCTATCCTCAGCTTGCACCCCGCACTGTTTGTTGACTCTTCAATCTCACTTTGTGCTGGGCACTTCCCTTTTCTAGGGTCTCTGACAAGGGGTATCTCATCGGGCTCTCGTTGTTTGAATTGTTGAAGAACTTGGGTCATGTGTTGAAACATGTCCTCTACCTTGTCTTCCAGGGCTGCGAACTGCTTTTAGAGTGGCTCAGGGGTCGTTACCACATGTGCCTCGGGCAACCCTTCTTGACGTTCCGGGTTCGGTCGGCTTGTCCCATCTTCGGGTCCTCCTACCTGGGAGTCGTCCAAGTTTAACCTCCTTTTGGCAGAGCAGTTGTCATCAAAGCGTCTTGAACTCCTTTCTGGTGTCATGTTGCTCGGCTGGATGCCTTAAATCGTTCCCACAGACGGCGCCAATTGTTGATGTGTGGATTTCGATCCTCCGATTCTCTTCCTCGCACACACCTAACTCGATAATTCGGGGATTGATACCTGCAAAACTAAATCGATATAAACCGGTGTGACCTTAGTCACACGGGCTCCGATGCCTAAGTTAGCAAGTGAAAGTTGAGAAAGCACTGAACTAGAGATGTTACTTGCCTCTTAAGGGTTGGACCTCACTGCTACTTATAGCTGTGAAAATGATTCCAGAAACTTCCGTAGCTAAACCCTAATTCAGAGTTGCAAGGCTCGAGGGGAATCGTTGATCGAAAAGGCGGGAGATTCACGGGTTGAGCCGTGGGCCGAGCCTGGCTCGGGGCTGAGCAGAGGTCGGGACCGAGCAGACCCGGTTGGTTCTCTGCAGTCACTTTCCTCGTTCCTCTGCAGCTTGGCCTTTTGTCGATTTTTCGTTACATAACAAACATATTCAATTATTTTCAATCATAAACAATAAAAAAATTATTAAAAAAAATCGCCCCATAACTTAAATTAATGTATAAAAAAAAATCAAAAGTTTTAAACTTAAATTTTTGACCTTTGATTTGAATTATGTTATTTTAATAAAACTTTAAACTTTATGCTATATTTAAAAATATACACTTGTTTTATGGTATTTATATAAATGTCTAAAGGATGTTTTCATATGAAAATGTGAATATCTCAAAATTGAAAAAATGAGATTGTTGGAGGGTAAAGATGGACTTGTCACGTAAAGAGTTAGGAAAGATCTATCGAAATGTAAGATCTTTCCCCATATGCTCGAAGGCACGATGTGACCTTCAACCTGTAGGTTCGGTAAAACTTCACTTGGTCGAATGTAATGCCATGCTCCAACCCTTAGACACTCGACAAGTCGACCTTGTGCAACTGATTTTCCGACAGCACAACTGAATGATTGGACATCCATGTCATCTAGCTCTTTAGATGAATAAACTATCAGGGGTTCGAACACAGGACCTCCCACTCTAATAAAGATGAATAAACTATCACTTAACTCAAAAGTTTAGGTTGATAGGTTGGGTAAATTTAATTTGGATATCTAACACTTCTTGAATCAGATCAAAATTCACCGTAAATAGAGATGAATATGAAGATTAAGATTCTTTTACCGAATGAGAGATGAAAAACACCTCCCTTACCTACTATATTCCAACATGATACATTCTCTAAGTATATTTACTCTCTTTAGTGTCTTCTCGCAATATATTATAAACGAGAGAGGAAGTTCAGACCTATAATCTATGAATCAAATTGTATCAAGAATATAACATGATAGCTCTAGGCATAAAAGTTCAAACCAATTACTTAAAAAAAAGAGAAAAAGAAAAAGAAAAAGTTAGTAGCTCAAATGAGTCACTTGCACCCTACTTTTTGTGTGTGTCTCTAAATCATTCAATTTGCGAAGGAGCTATTTCGGCAAAAATGAAAATGAAATATTTGAACAATTTTTTAATTTTATCATAAACGACGTGTCGGATATGCTGATTCTCAGAACCGTTAGTGGGTCCCATTTTCAAACCAAATCTGAAGAAAAAGTAAATCTACTTGTCGTCTATGGGAAGGTCCGTTTGACTCCCCTCAGCAGCCCACCACACCTCATCTCATAAATTAATTAATATTTAAATAATTACACGTCTTTAACTTTACTATCTTTTTATTTATTTATTTACCTTTTTCCAGTTCCAACCCATAGAGTGGAGGTTTGAATATTGGTTTGAATATTTGACATTTTTATGGAAGATATATGTACTATCTAATTATTTGAATTCTGTTCATGTGAACATTTTATTTATTTTTTCTAGTACAAGTGTGCTGGGAGGTGGGGGAAGAATCACAAAATATTACTTGAACCGAGAATAGCAAGTCGCAAATGACCTTACGATGCTGACCTGCATAGCTCGATGCCGCTTACTTAAAATTGCAAGCAAACATAAAAGATCCTTAGCTTGTCTCGTTCGAGCTAAGAATCTGACAGCTTCCTTGTATTGTTGAGAATAGTTCAACAACTTTAGTAAAAGACTAACGGTCGTCGTTAGAGAAAGATTCCCACATAATCCCTATAAAGACGTCATCACTTTACTCAGTCAAGTTTGCAATTCTATTTGAAATCGATTTAGAGATTTGGACTTTGGACTAATTTGAGTGTTAGAGTGTTTGTTATTTACATTCAGGTCTTCTAGTCCAGCTTGCATGGGTCTCAATTCGTGGAATTCGACCGAAACAAAGTGTTTAAACCTTTGACCTCAAAGGAAGAAATAGATGTCATTTACTGCTAAGTTATGTTCATATTGATCTTTCATTTTAATTAAAACTTCTAACTTATATTGGGAAAATATCTAACTTTTACTATAAATTTTCAATTTCATTAAGTTGCAATTTTAACATTAAAAAGTGTTGCAATTTCGACATTAGAAATTTTTCGTTTGAAAATTCGTTGAAAAAGTATTCTTACAGGCGTCTATAAATTATAAAATATATATATTGATGTGAAATTGATAGGATTCAAACAAAGAACGTACTACGTTAGAGTTGGTTTTCTTGTTAAAATTAGAAATATTGAATTTAAGTTGAATAGCCACTTATATATCAAAACTTAGGGTATGGTATTTAGGGAATTTATTCAAAATATCTAAAGCACGAATTTTCTTAATTGATTCATCAATCGTATTAATTAAAATTTTGTCAAAAGGATAAAATTTTCACTTACTAATAACGTAGGAAAGATCATACCTTTCCAACCACCTTCACATGTCTATTTTGTTATTGCAAGTATTTCAATTTGGTTCGGTTTTGAAATTATACCAATAAGATTTTGAAATAATGAAATTATAAATTTAATTTCTAGTATGCATTTAATATTTGTATTTTAAAAAGTGCAATGAACTTTCAAGATTATGTCTACCTAATTTTACAATACTTTGAAAAGTTCGTGATAGATTTCCAAACTTTCAATTTTGTTTTTCCACGGTTTATTCAATTTTACTCTTAAATTTCTGGCAAATCACTAAATACTCTTATTATGTAAATTTATTATCAACCAATTTTAAAATTTATTTAGTGATAAGAAAGGCACATGATTAAAAAATGACAAGAAAAGAGTATAACAATAAATTAAATTAAATTAAAAGTGTAGATAACTAAATTAAAACTATTTGAATAATATATAGACAAAAATTAAAAAAATACCCGACATTAATTAAGAGTACTAAAAACATATATTTAATCTTGAAAATATTAGAATGAAATATTAAATAAAGGGCAAATGGAAAACCACAAGTTTCTTATCCTTTAGCCACCTTTAGAGATCGAAAAATCCAATAGAAACCATTTATTCACAATCTGGCAAGAAAATATCGATGTCGACGAATATTTTTGTAAAAATACGAGAAATTAAAAAATTTTAAAAAATACTTAAATTAAAACGTAAATATTTGTCTAAATAAATTAAAAGAAATTAATATTACAACATTTGATTGATATTTTTCATATTTTATTGATCTTTTTTACAACACGGGAAATCTCGAATTACCTAATATTTAATAGCAAGCATAAAACTAACCAAAGAAAAAAAGTAAAATCAATTTGATATCGCAGTAATATTGAAAAGAACAACAAACAACCAAATAAATTCTGACTTTTACAAGGCAAAATGATTTCTTGATAATCCAGAAAAAGATTCCATAGTTTGACGAATTTTCCTTCTTTTTCCAGTTGGTCAACACAACTTGGGGATCAAGAAAAAAAACCCATCCGGTTCATCTCCCGAAATCGTGTTGCCAATCTCATTTCTCTCTTTTTTCAGAAAAGAAATGATTAAATTCGAAAGCCAACACCTTCGTAGAACCATCGTCGCCGTCAGAAATGGCCCTCTTCACTTTTAAATACCATCAAAATCTCACTCCCTCTTCGTATTCCCACCCATTCTTCCTGATCTTTTCTGGGTCTTCTCTTCATCGTCGAAACTGATTGATCCCTCTGATTTATGGATAATAATCTTCTCGACGATTTTCCCAATTTCTGGAATAATTTCAATTTCCATCCCCATGTTTCAAATGGGTTCACAGCGAATCGCGAAATCGTCGACCCCATTATGATTCCGGCGAATTCGCCGCCGTCGAGCTCGGAAGGGGAGTCGCCGGACAGCCATGACACCTCCAACACGACGCTCAAGTACATCACCGAGATGCTTATGGACGAAGAAGAGGATCTGAAAACCAAGCCGTGTATGCTTCTGGACGGTTTGGCTCTTCAGGCCGCCGAGAAATCCTTCTACGATGTTCTTGGGCAGAAATATCCACCTTCCCCAATCGGAACTTGCGATTCTTCTGGTAAGGGAGGAGAAGAAGAATTTGAACCTGTGAGTGAATATCCCTCTGTGTTTGCCCCTTTTGCGAACCCTCTTCTGGGTGGTCAAGATTCGTTTCTTGAGATGCAGTTTATTGGCCATTTTAGGCAAGGGTTGGAAGAGGCGAGCAAGTTTCTTCCCATCAATGGAAGATTTGGGACCATTGACTTGGAGAGCGAATCACCGCCGTCCATTTCTTCTGGGGGTGTGGCTTTTTCTTCTAGTGTTGGTAATGGGTTGTTAAGAGAGAAGAAAAACCGTGAGAGGGAGGATAGTGATGAGGAGTTGAGACTCGCCAAATATTCAGCTACTTATGCTGATGACAACAATTCACTGTGTGATTTGTTTGATGAGGTTCTGCTGTGTCGGGGGGAGAGTCGGCGGCCCCAGTCGTGCGGTTCGGATGATTCGTCGGAGAACGAAGCAAAAAAGAAGTCCGGGAGGAGATGGAAAGGGAAGAAGAGGGGATCGAGGAAGAAGGAGAAGGACAAGAGTATGGGAATTGTGGATTTGTGGACATTGTTGACTCAGTGTGCTCAGGCAGTTTCGAACTATGACAAGAGGACTGCTGTAGAATTGCTTAATCAGATAAGGCAGCATGCTTCTCCATCTGGGGATGGGAATCAGAGACTAGCTCATTACTTTGCCAAAGGGCTTGAGACCCGGCTTGCGGCCGGGACGCCTCTGTATATGCCGTTTGCAAGCAATGAAACCTCTGCTGCTGAGATCTTGAAGGCTTACCAGATGTTCATCAAGGCCTGCCCGTTTCGGCGGATGTCGTATTTCTACGCCAACAGGACGATTTTGAAACTAGCTGAGAAAGTAACTAGGCTTCACATTATTGATTTTGGGATTCTGTATGGTTTGCAATGGCCCTGCTTGATTCAGCGGCTCTCAAGCAGACCAGGTGGGCCTGCCAAACTTAGGATCACAGGGATCGAGCTTCCCCAGCCGGGATTTCGCCCCACTGAAAGGGTTGAGCAGACGGGGCGTCGCCTTGAACATTACTGCAAGAGATTTAATGTGCCATTTGAACACAAGGTATTGGCACAGAAATGGGATAGTGTTAGGTACGAGGATCTGAATATTGATAGAAATGAGCTGACGATTGTGACTTGTATGTTCCGATTGAAGAACGTACCGGACGAGACGGTGGTGGCGAACAGTCCAAGAGACACGGTTTTGAAGTTGATCAGGAGAATAAACCCGGATCTGTTCATCCATGAAATCACCAATGGCTCATTCAACACTCCATTCTTCAATACACGGTTTAAGGAGGCACTATTTTACTACTCATCGTTGTTTGACATGTACGAGGCAACGGTGCCTCGAGATAACCCGCAGAGGCATTTGTGCGAGAAGGAAATCCTTGGAAGAGACATCATGAACGTGGTAGCGTGTGAGGGACTCGAGAGAGTTGAAAGGCCCGAGACATACAAGCAATGGCAAGTAAGGAACACCAGGGCCGGGTTCAAGCAAGTTCCATTAGACCAGCATCTGCTCAAACATGTGGAGAACATAGTCAACACAGAATATCATCACGACTTCGTCATCGACCAGGACGGGTCGTGGATGTTGCAAGGCTGGAAGGGGCGGATCATCGACGCCTTGTCTTGTTGGGTAGTTGCATAACATGCCACATAATCCAGTCAAGAGCATAGCTCAAGTGGTTAAAGTATATATCCTTCACCAGAAGGTCCGATGTTTGAATCTCCAGCCAAGAGCATATCTCAACTGGTTAAGACATATATCCTTGACCAGAAGGTTCGATGTTTGAATCTCCAGCCAAGAGCATAGTTCAACTGGTTATGGCATATGTCGTTGATTAAAAGGCCTAGGTTTGAATCATCACTCCAATATGTTGTTAGGTTGTTGAACACAGAAAAAAGATGCCAGGAAATCCATCAGCCATAGCGCAGTCATAGCCATGGAAGACTTGGCAGTCTATCATATTTCTCCATTTTTATCATCTGTTTTTGGAGTTTTTCTGTCTGCTAACAAAGTAATGTAGCTTCATTGTTGGAACTTTTGTATATATTGGATCTCAAATTTGCCCCTATGGAAATCACATATAAATTACAACCAAAGCTTACTTCCCATTGGTTTTCCCCTTTATATGTCTCCATTTTTATAGATTGAAGCTTGTTTCCTTTCTGCTATACTTTCCTAGACATGGAAGTTGCTTTTGGAGTCTTGCCTTTGATTGGACTCACTTATGGAGATTTGATTTTGTGGAAAAACCACATATAATCTTTTACAACTCAGCAGTTTAATCTGTTTATAAGATGGGAGGCCAGACCTATCTGTTATTCAAATGTTTTATGTTGTTTTTAGAAACATTGTGTGGAGAAGGATTTTTTTCTTTTTTTTTTTAAATTGTTGTCTCAAGTTACACTTCTATTTTTCAGTTCCCACAACTTCTGATAGCATTTTAATTGATCCCTCTTCATCAGGGCAGTCCAAGTTCGACTGCTATAAGTGCTGGTTTCCATTACCATTGTTATATGTTCTGCACTATTTCAAGAATACTTCACTGGGTCTGGGAAGTATTCTTGGATGATTGGTTTTTAACTGCCTTTTTTGGGGTCAATCCACGGTTTCCAATGGGTCTGAGTTTGGATGAATCCAAACCAAAATCACTTGAAAGATGAAATGCTATTAGTTTGTGGTTATTTTCAGAAAACCATTTAGTTTGAGAATCTGTTTCTTTGATCATTTCAGATTTGAGGCATTTAGTTTTGTGAGTTGTGGGTTCCTTTCTTTCTTTTGTTTTTGTTTTTGAAATTTGCATTTCCTTGTACAAGATTTACAGAACAACAATGGCTGGTCTTAGATTAAGTTAAACATTGTGGCCTTTTACATGATCTTTCTTCTAGACAAGCATTCCATTCCATCCAATCATTTTTCCCGATTGCAGGCTATCGGTTATTCTTCATTAGTGCATATGTTTGAGAGTTTTGAGTCATATTCATCATTATTTTGTTCTGTTCTGCAGTTTTGTTCATGGTAGGTTGCCTTATGATATTCTTAAGCCTGGCCATGTATTGAGGAACGAACCTCCTTCTTAGCTTACCAATACGAAAACTTGTACATATCTTATTCGACATTAGTTAAACGGTTCTGTGTCTTGTCGGGTTTTACTGAGCGATTTGATTTAGTTTTTCTGGTTTGAGACTCTGAATCCTAATAAAGGAACAGTTGTTGATGAGACAGGGTCTCGAATTTTCAACATTAATCAATGTATGAGCAGTGAAACTCTGGTCTCAATCTTCCGATTACACCGGTCGTCAGCAAACCATTTGAAGAGGCATTCAAGCAAGTTTCCGAGATAGTTAATATCGGTATGTGGCCATCATGAGGTTTGAACTCATTTCCTCTTAATTAATCCTAATCCCTTCAGATCAATGAGCTACCCATGATGGTTATAACAGAACTGATTAAAAGAGTAAAGTATGAACTATAAATTTTGGGCCAATCATAAATGGCCACGTCATTATCTATTTTGTTTAGAGATTAATTATATGTTAATTCTAAATTAAAATTAAAGATAAATTAACAATTAAAATATATAATTGGGCTATATTAGATTATGAGGGAAAAAAAGGGCCTCTCCACTGTGGACTCCTCTTGATAAGAACTCATCTACTGAATTGAGCTGTGTGCAAGGAGTCAGTTCACTTCTTTTATATCTAGATAATTTTTATGGGGGAAAAATCATTTTTTACCCCTAATTAGGTCGAAATTTCAATTTTATCAAATTACATGTTAAACTTGAATGTGTATTACAATTTTTACCTCATAATAATTTTTCATTTGAAGAATCGTCAAAAGAAAAGAAAAAGAAAAAAAGAAAAAAACATTTTCAAGTGCATTCAAGTAATATGTTTGGTATGAAATTGATAAGATTTTAGAGAAGAGCAGTGTTCCATTTTGTTGATTTACCAACTTAATTTTGTACAAAAAAATTGTAATAAAATTTAAGGTAAAAAAGTTAGATACATGGTTAATTTTTTTTTCTTCAAAGTTTTACTTGCATGGCAGATGATGTATAAATGTAAAATATGTTTTCAAAACTTAAAGATTTTATTTTAAAACAATTTTATGTTTCATTCCCTAGAGAAGTTTTATATTGTGCTTTAAATGTAATTTTTGATATTCTAACCAATTTGAAAAAATATCAATTTGAGTGTTAAAGGTGTAAACCTTAAAAAAAAAAAAAAACTTTTTTTAAAAAAAAAAATTTGTAATTTGATTGAGGTTTGGTTGTGCAGCAAGTAGTACCTAACATCTTTGTTGTTATTTTCAATATTACTGCGATATCAAATTATTTATTTTTGATAGTTTTATAATGGATTGAAGAGTAAACCAATTATCAAATCATGAGTATAATTTAACAGGTAAGTTATGAAACATTTGGAATTTCATGTTATTAAGGGGGTAATTTGGATTAAGTAGCCACTTAGATTGATATCAATGTATGTTAGAGTGTGATGAGGAGTTACAAGGTATTTAACATTAGTGTGGTGTTTGTCCTTGTACACCCGTACTTAACATACAAGTAATTTAGTAGTCATGTCGGTGACTTGTTGAGATCGAGATTTGAAATTTTGATGTTGAGGTTTCAATTTTATGAAAATATTAATAGAAATTTGGATATCAATAATGCTTTTTAAAATGTCGTAAGAATCAAAATATTCATAAACAATATTTAAATTAACGAATAAAGATTTCCCCATTTTAAATGAGTTAAAATTTCTTATCTTCAATATTATCAATGGTATTTTAACGATATAATTTTATATTTGTCGATTTTTTTTTTTTGAGATACTATGAAAATGGTAATTTACCTATTGTGTCGATGTCCATTGACACATGGAAATGTCGACAAAAAATGTCAACATGTCAATGAGAATTTAATACTCTAGTTGGAATGTCGCATACTGTTGCATGAATTAAGAAGCAGGTAGGATATATTAGTGCTACACCAAATGTGATTGGTAGGTGTAAGTATGACAATACGCTATGATATTTTGATAGCTTTTCATGCGACCTCATTGATCAGATACTCTAAGTATCTAGTCAAAGCTACGTACCAACACTACAACAAAATTAGCCTGTAATATCAGTTCTCAACTAACATCGTACATATTAGATGTTGGTTCCGCAACCGACTTTTGGTTTAACCTAGTTGCGCTACAATTTACTTGATAAGTTCTAAAAGTCTCACCTAGCTACTACCTATCTCATTGCTTTTTTTGGACCTACGACCGACTTGGTAGCTTCATGTCCTATCTCATTGCTTTTTCTGGACCTACGACCTACTTGGTAGCTTCATGTCACAATGTGACACAAAAAATAGATCAACTAAATAAAATAAGGTAGGCGGCCAAAATAGTAGATCGTGAGGTGGCGAAATACGTACATTTTTTAAATTGAATTGTTTGGCTTGTTTTATGTTATTTTATCTAATTAATCCTCTCTTGTGACATTSATTGACATACTATACCAAATCATTACTTTTTAATTCAATCAACCCRTCACGCTAATGTCAAAGTAACGATGCTAAAAGCAACCATTTATCAAAATCAAAATAAAAAGCTCAAATGCAACTCTATAAATATTTTAAAGTTAATCAGAAGACTAAATAAGGTCCACCATCAAAATTGAGAGGGCATATTTTGTCATTTATCAAATTTATAATTTTTGGTAATTAAAGAAGTTTTTCTTCTCAAATCATTTGCAGAGTAAATAAAAGAAACTAATAAAAAAAAACAATTATCCTTAACAAAACATGTTTTTTTTCATAGAATGGTTTATCTTAAAGATTGAAAATTTCTCCACCCATTTTACTCTTCTTTCCATCCMATTATCATAATTGCTTTTTTAGTTTTTTCATTTATTATTGTTATTCCTTAAATTAAATAAATATTTATTTGAAAAGAAATAAAATTGTGCACTAGAGGAGATATTTTGTATTCTATTTTACTTTTTTTTCTTTGGTTTGTGTTTGGGGTAAAAATACCTTGGACACGTGGAAGACGCTCATTGGTGTTCAAGGAATAAAGGAAGTATCCCAGGTCCACCTCGAACCTGCCGAGGAGACTGGGTTTGCCCATCGACAAGGCTAAGTGTAAAAAAGTCCCGGTTCGACCTGGATGAGTTCAATCTGCTCAAACCCAACAGGTTCGACATAAAAAAGACAAAGGTAATCGCCGGTCGTGAGCACTGTCGGACCCGCCACCTATAAATAGAGTGCCTCATTTCACAGACAGGTATCGAATCTCACCTCGAACTTAATATTGAGTCCGACAAGAACTGACTTGAGCGTCGGAGAGTTTGCCCTCTTGTGCAGGTTCACTCTTGAGTTCAGGTCAAGCCGGAAGCCGGGTTCGAGCTTGGTTCGTAAGATAGCGTTGAACAATTCTTTGCATAAACATTTGGAGTCGTCTGTGGGGAAGGACAATCTAAGTCATCCCGATCTAAAAAGTGTGAACAAAGATGGTTCAACCAGCAAACTCAACCAACACAGCAGAYCGAAGAGCTCTGGCTGCCAACGATGGTCACCAGAGGGAGGTCGGGGTAGAAGTGGCAGAGGGCCAGATTCATGAAGGCCTTGGGACCGAGCCGCTCCGTAGGTCGGCACGCATCACCA